TTCCCCAGTTTACTTATGTGACACCAGGGCTAAGGAGAAATTGTTTTCAAAGCAAGATTTAGTAAGCAGCTAGTTCATTAAGTGGTCTAACCTGAGAGGATACCAAGAAACTACTGTTAGCTTAAAAGGGCAATTTATTTTTTATTTTTAGAGAAGTTTTGTACAACCTGATGACTTCTCAACATCTATCCAAAAGAATTCCTGTCTCATTTTCCAATTAAAAAAACCCCTAATTTAGCTTTCTTCCTTCACAGCCAGAATGAATTTTTCATAATAAAACACTATCACAGGATCATGTCAAACAAATATATATTAGGAGGAGGGAGGTTACACTAGAGCAATGGCCACCAGTGTCATTTATTTTGATTTAAGAAATCAACACTACTCTGCTTGTTTACATGGACTGACAAACCCAGTTAGACAGCATGGCCAAGAGAATATTAAGAGCAGTGTTAAAGAGCAAAGGTCATGCTTGTCCACCTCAGCTTCTCCTATTAAAGACACCCAGTAATGACCAGTTACTTAACAACCATGTCTTTATACCACAAAAAATTGATAGTAATGTCAATATCCCTTCTTTGCAAACTGTATTTCACAGAATGTATGTTCTGAACATATTACTAAGTATTCAACACAAGGAAATAAAAGAAAATCAGTTTCATCCTCTAAGTTGACAAATGCTCTTTTGGACAGGGTTAAACCTCTTTTATTTTTAAACTAAAAATATTTCCAGAAGCTTTAGTAAGCTCCTGTGCACTGTGAATCACTAGGATATGATTTTAGTATAGCGCACTTCCAAGTTCATGGAAATGCCCATAGATTTCCTTTTAGAGTATTGATTCACATTTTATGCAATGGTGAGTGCCACCACTTAAGAGAATCAGACATCGATGGTCCCGGCAAGGCTAAGTGTGTGAAGCCCCCATGGACATATGTGGGTGGGACTGTTTTAACTGATATAATAAGAAGGAGCCATTATGTAGCATATTAGCTTCTGATTCCTATTATCACAAATTAGCATGAACACAAGTGTCTTAAAACAACACAAATACATCTTATAGTACTGGATGTTAGAAGTCTGACACGTGCTTCTCTGGGCTAAAATCCAGGTGTTGGCCAGGGCTATGCTCCCTTCCATAAGCCCTGAGCATACAGAATCTGTCCCTTGCCTTTTCCAGTTCTGCAGTCTTCCCATACTCCCTGGCTCAGTGCCCACTTCCCCCAACTTCAAAGCCAGCAACATCACCTCCCTGTGATCATTCGTCTGTAGTTACATCTCCTCTCATAATCAGGGAAGTCTTCAGCTTTTAAAGACTCATTTTAAAGGTTCATGTGATTACATTAGCTCCACTTGGCCAGGCAGAATAATCTTCCCATGTCAACACTGGCAAAGTCCCTTTTTGCCATGTAAGGTAACATAATCATAGACTCTAGGGAATAGGGCTTGGACATCTTTGGGGGCCATTATTCTGCCCTCCACATATGGGTTGGTAAGAATATGAGAGTTCTGGCTAACAAATGAGGTCAAGGAATAAGAAAGAAGCTATTGCTGTTTGTGATTTCTCAACTATTCCTTATACTGCATAGTACCAGGGAAGTCAAAATCATTGTCTGGTTAAGGACATAGGATAAACAAACTCTGAAACCTGCTCACCAGAACCAAATACTTGTTTCTGTCTTCACAGTGTGGTGAAGGAAGCACACACACTCCACCATCACAGCCAGCTGACTCCTGAACAGCAGGGGCCAATTCTCTAGTTGGAGTACTCTCCAATAAAAGATACATACTCCTAATAGGCTCCATTGCTACTTTCTTCACTAAGGAGCCATGCATTCATTATTTCCTATGATGCAGGTGCTACACTGTCCAATTTTGCAAGTAAAAAATGAGTATTTTTGTTGATTTTTTTGGTATAAAGAATTGAATTTTGTAACTGAGGGCCTGGCATATGCTAAGCATGCACTATTCACCAAGCCATACCTTCAGCCCTAGAAAATAAGTATTTTTATGGTTGTACTACTTAGTGAGATCTTACTTTCACCAAACCAGTGGAAAGTACACATCTGAGGCCTGAATTCTTAACCCATGAAATACTGTGTCTATTCGGGTTGATACCCATCCATCCTGTAATTCTTCCCAAGCCCACTCTCAACCCAAAGTACATTTATGCAGTTGTGGGAGTGTGTACCTACACCTGTGCTCACTGTTTGGTACATACACACTGTATGGTAACTTTGTGTCATTCATCACCTCATGGAACTTTATGCGTTGAACGTATCTTTCTGTTTTGCTCTCTGATATAACTAAGGACTTCTAGACTAGAGGCAAGATATGTCATGTCTAGTTTTAAACATGGGGACATCATCACCCGCGAGACACTGGTCAGCTAGCTGAGCAGCATGAACTTCAGCTTCTATATCTTGTAAGAGGTCAAAGATAATACTGGCTTCACAGGTTCATTGTAAGGATTAAAACAGATGATGTATGCCAGGCACCTGATAAATAATGATTACACTAAAAATGGCATTCAAACTACTGTCAACTGCCTGTATGTTTGCTAGCATGAAAATGCTACTCAAAGTTCTTGTCCCTCTGAAAGATAACCTCTCTTTCCAGGGACATTTGTATGACCATCAACCATATGTTAACCTCACATCTTATTCCTAAGGTGTGGTTAACACTACTGAAAATATTTTCTTCTAAAGGGTCGTGTCTATGTCTGCCTAGAAAACTGGGGCCTGATACTTCTTGAAATTTGCTAATCACATCTGGTTTAGTTTTAGACATTTTCTGGGATTTTGCCAGCAGCCACGACATTTTAATGACTACAATAAACCTCAAAGCCTCATCAAATCTTTGCTGTATGTGTGAAAATTATGTCCTCTTCAATTAAACATTCAATCTTGGTTCACACCAAGGCCTTATGGAGAAGGAGGTGAAGCCTGAACGGGACTGGGAGATGAAACGGACCGCCACAATTCTGGCCATCTTGCCAGATGGTATTTAGAAGAAAAAGAAATTCATTAGAGAACCCAGCATCTGTATTTTCTTTAAATATTTACTGGGTACCTTTCATGTGTTAAAAACACTGGCATATCTAAAGATTAGCAGGGTATTTTTGTTTAAATATTCAATGTGTGTGGGGTTGGGGAAGTCATTTCCTCCTTTGCTTTTGTGGTACTCTTCAATATCCTTAGGAGAAGCCTGGTTCAAAGAAGAAAAATGATGGAGGTGATATGTTCACTTTTTGTTCCTAAGGCAACTTCAGTGGCTCCAGAAGGTCTCCCAGTTGCTTGAAATTGGCTGAGAAAAGTGTCAGTTGAGTACTGAGAGACCCACAATGACACTTAAGAGCCTCCCTAGACAAAAATATAATGGATCAGCATGAGGAGCCTTGGGGAACCCCTGCGCCTCCACTCTCCTCCTACGTGGCTCCCCCATTCCCTTATTTATCATTAAACTCACTAGGATGTCAAGGGGAGGCAGCCCCTGGAAGGAGAAGGGGAAAGATCAAACAGAGATCAGGTTTCCTCTCAAAAGTCCAAGGAGGGGTCAGTCCAAGGGCTTTACAAGAGGCAAAGAGGCAGAAAAGATGGTCATTCAGGGCCAGCTCACAGTGGAATGAGCGCAGCGCTTCCTCTGCTCACATTTGCCGGGTTCCAGTGCTCCACTGGAGAGGGAGAGGAAAAAACTCTACCTGAGGGCTCACTTTGCTTTACCACAATGCGATCAAGTCCTCATCCCAGTTAAGGCTCAAGCTGCCAGCTCTCCAGGAGGAGAGAAGAAATTAGTTCACGTAGCATATTTCTGAGTGAAGAATCCTTTGGGTTGAATTCTCTCTCTCAGTCACATCAAAGGGCAAAAAAAATCCTGCACGCTCCCTTAAAAATAATTTACAAGGTAAAAGTATTCATTTGTAACCACTCTCCTTATTTAAGCAAGTTTTATGCCCAAAGTAAAAATAAATGGCTCTCCCTGTCACCAGGAACAGATCCTTCCCACTTTACTTCTATTTCAATGTTGTTCTCAGCCTAAGACTTGAGTTTCTGAGCACTCTTTCACAATAAACATTTTTTAAATGTTTATTTTATGTCTTAGTATAAAAATATTCCTGGTTGAAACTCTTCATTTCCTCAAGCTCTCCTTCTGGCACTCGGGGCTCCATTTCCACATTAACACGCTCCCCAAATCCTCCACAGTGCTCTTCAACTGGAGTTACACAAGCCTGGACACAAGTATTTATATTCTTGGACAAGGAGACGTCTCCACAGTGAAAACACAAGACTCTACAAATGCCAAAGGAAAATTCCTGCCTGAGCGAGACAGACTTTCACCTTTAAAAAAACCAAAAAGGGGCTTTCTGCATTTTTGTATTGAATAATCAAATATGTAAATTAAACTAAGAGTGTTTGCTATAGATCTTATCATTACAGTCATATAGAAACCAAATACATAGAGATGTGAGTGTACACATGTGAGGTATTTATGTAACTGTGTGTATGTGTGTTTATAAGCAACAAAATAAGTTAAGAAAATATAGGTATTCTCATTGGAAAGACATGGTTGGCACTCAGTACACCTGCCTCTGAGTGTATGAACACAACTCCTCCAAGCCTCATTTTTCTCATCTGTAAAATGGAGTTAATACAACTTCCTGCTTATTAGGGTTGTTTTAGGAATGGTGTCAGAAAGCAGTATGGCTCCAACAAATGGTTGCTGCCTCTATTATGAAAGTTATAACAATTGAATGTTGGAAAAATGTAGATATGACAGGATGCAGACATAGTAAGCAAATGATTGACATTTCTCAAAGAGAGGAACACATAAATGAAAGGCCTCCAAACAACGCAGAGAGATGGAAAGTTTCACGAGGGCTGGAGGACCATAAGTGAGCTCTGCGCCAACTCTACTCTGTGAGCCAGACATAAATGATCCACTTGAAGCGTTTTTTAAAAAGAAATTTAAACTATTATCATAACAATAGAACAGCTCCTATTACCTTCTAGTTGCCTCTTCAGTTTTCTCAAATCTTTTATGAGGTCTTCAAACTTGACTTGGGAGGCCAGAAAGAAATCCTGTGGTTCGGGCAGGGGGAAAACACTCTTTTCTGTTCCAGCTTCCTGAAAGACATGGCGAACAAAAGTACATTCTACTTCCCAATTGTCACTTTCAGTTCAAATTTCAGAGCATCAGTCATGAAAAGAAAGAGTTTATAGCTGCCTGTCTGAGTAAGAATCATGTTCTGCTTCCCCACTGTTCCTCAGTTTGGACCTGCTACTTTGATAGGCTGCAGTGTCTTTCACAGCATCTTTTTGTTCCTCTGGCATCAAGGTTAGTATTGACGTAGCACAGACTATGTTCTTAGGAATCAAGGAGAAAACTGTCAGGCTATGTCCTGATCTCAGACACTTTAGTCCCCTGGATAAAGGCATAGGGGTAGCATGTGAAAGTACTTAAACACCAAGCCCCTGTTTGAGTCACACATGCTAGCAATTAGATAATTCATCTTGGTGCTGCAGTGGAAGACGCTGTCCCTTCCTTCCACCTTCACCCACCTTCCTCTGCAGCTAACAGTGCAGGTGAGTGTGTGTACAACGTAAAGCTTTTTCAAATGTCCTTTGGTTTACCTGAGGAGGGCATAGTTTCCTGTGGTTTTGTCAAGCTTCAAAGCACAATCTGATGGTGGATCTAAGCTGAGAAACAGCTTGAGGGACAGAATCTCCATCCAGGCACACTCAAACACAAGCTGGGTCTCAAATGTCTTCTGTAGCCTCACCTGCCTTCTCCATGGCTACTTAATGTAAGCTGTGTATCTTGCACATCTGAAGTAGGCTTTAGGTACAACCCTCTCCACACTCATTGCTCTGCCAGCTTCTCTTCACAGTCCATCTTCCCTACAGCCATTAGGACTCATTCCAAACTCTAAAATTGCTGCACAAGGCACTTTATGATCTCGCCTCTGTCTACATTGTCAACCTTATTTCTAACCATGCCCCCACCCCCATCTCTGTCTTCATAAAACCAGAGAACAGGCCACAGTCTCTTGCCTCTAGGCCTTTATCTACAAAACCATCCTTTTGTAAGCCTTCCCTAGAGACACCTCACACCTCCTTATTCCTACTCATCCTTTGCTGCTCAAACCAAATGTCACTTTAAGTGCCAGAACTTGGGTGTTTCTCTCCTGTACTCCAAGAGCCTCTGATACTAACCTTTATCATAGAGCTTTTGCCATTAATTTAAAAATTGCTGGGCTAACTTGTATGTCTTCCTCACTAGACTATAAACACCTAAACAGCAGGAACTGTGTCTTGTTCTCAGTATAGTACACAACATCTGGCATATCAATAGACTGTTTTGGTTGGTAGGCACCATTGTAGACAGCCTATAAATTCTGTTTTGGAAAGTTTGCACCTTTAGCAGCAAACATTTGATTTATCACCATATTTTTTCTTGGGTTTCAGGAATTCTTTGAACCCTTTCTCTTCCTCTAAGTCCTTCAGCTTCACTTGGGATACTCGTTTTATCAGAATATAATTATTTGTTTTCATCTGTCTTTATTTTACTACCTTAAAATCAACAGGAGCAATACCCCAGTCTGAGTGCCAAGATGGAAATCTAATATGGTCATGACAAAGCTCCAGGGAGTCTACAACTGGAGGACCTCAGGCGTAATATCTCTACTTTCCAAAACTTTTTGTCAGTCTCAGCCCTGATTTCAGCTTTTTGTAAGTGAAGAAAAGAGAGAATGCTGATGGGAAAATCAGCAGTAGCTCTTGCAAAGCTGTTTGTTTAGGGTTGAGAAGTTCCATGGGGTTCTTCACCCTCCCCAGAGCTTGACTTGGGGACCGAACGGCAGGCATGAGGAGCTGGAGTCATGTTCACTCAGCTAACCACTCATCACCACTAACTACAGAGATCATCACTTCCACTCCTCCAGGGAAAGGATAGCTCCATTAATCCCACACTCCCTCACTCCCTCAGAGTTGGAGGTAGGAGGGCATCACCAATGTGTGCTTACTTTTCCTAGACTGGGCTCATCCCACATTTGTATCTCTTTTTATTATATGACACCAATTCCATTGGTTCCTGCTCTCAATGACATTTTTCATAGGCCAATATCAGCATTTCTACATAATGCATTTGACTTGGTAGAGGCAGACACTACCAGGCAAGTCTGCCCCCACTAACCAGGAGTTAGAAATGTGGCTTGCCAGCTGGGTGAGGTGGAGCACACCTGTAATCTCAGCACTCAGAGGCTGAGACAGAAGGATCATGAATTTGAGACCAGCCTAGACTACATCTTGAGACCCTGTTTTAAAAAAGGAAATGTCACCTGCCTAGATTTTTCACTGCTGCCTGCTGTCAGAACTTAGGGTTTTATACATGCACCTGCTGCTTCTAAATTCTCTCAAGCTCAGTACGTCTTTCCCACTCCAAAAGACAGTTCTCATCTTCTTACACTTGGCTCTTTACAGATGCTATTTATTACTCTCTTGTGAATACTTACTTTATATCTAATTTAGCAAGTGCTTACTGGACACCTATATCATAGCCTGCAGTGAATTCTGGTTTTCAGAGAGCGATGCCAAGGTAACAAGTAACTGCTTGCACTTAATTCCATGGACAAGGCAGAAGATATGTCATGACAGAGCTTCAAATACAGAGTCTCCTGGCCTCAAATGTGAGGGCTTCAGAGGTCAGGATGCAAGCAAAACCTTCTTAGAAGAAGGGACATGCAAGATTGGACTAAATTATTTTTCATTATTTTTTTCTCTTTTACAGAAATGACACATGCTCACTACATCATTGAAAGAAAGAAGAAAAAAAGTTATAATTTTAACATCCAGAAATAATTCAACACATTGTATACATCTGTCCAAGTTTTTCTGTGTATTTGTGTACATTTATAAATTTGAGCTTATTACTATGTATATTATTTTGAAATACATGTATATAACTTAAAAACAATTGAGAATACTTTCCAGAGCTCTTACATTTTCCTAAACACTTTTTACAGCAATATGGTATCCAGTTTTATGACTAGCATAATTATTTGACCTTAGCATCTACCATGGGACACCTAAATTTTTCCAATATTTTGCTATTACAAATCATTATAAGTAGAGTAGTGATACAAGTCCTTAGTTATTTCTGTAGGGCTTTTGATACACTAGGATTAAAGCCTTGCTAACTCATGTAGCACATCTGTATGAATTAGGAAAAAGTGTACCCTGGGAATAGGCTCAGCTCCCTGGCAAACAGCTTGAGGAGCCTGTGACATCTTTCTGTGAATTTCTGAAAGGCTCCTTCATAGAATATATAGTTTGGTGAGCCAAAGAGTAGGCTAAAGGGCTGGGGGAGGCTCACATGGTAGAAAGCTTGCCTCTCAAGTGCAAGAGCTTGGGTTCAATCCCCCAAGCAAGCAAGCAAGCAAACAAACAGAGCAGGACAGAGAATAATGTGGTCAACTATATGTGACAGTCTTGGGAAAGGTCTGAGTGACAATTCTGTACCGAGTTGGTAATTTATATTGTCTACTTGTCTTCCATAAATTGTTGCTGTGTCTCTTGCTATTGTTTGTGTGTGTGTGTGTGTGTGTGTGTGTGTGTGTGTGTGTGTGTAGGAACAAATTATCTTTTCCTGTTGATTCTGAAGAGCTCCTTATCTATTGTGCATACAATATTTTCCCAAAGTGATATTGAGAAGCTGGTTCTCTTTAAGTTATTCTTGAGATACTAAAGTTTCTTAAAATTTTAATTAGTAATTAAAGTTCTTTACTTGTATGCATTTAAAGTTATCATTCTCATCTTGTATGGTTTTTTGCTTTAGTTTCAGTGCTGTGACAGGACTTTGCTACCTCAAGATCAGAAAACTACCTACTTATATTTTCCTGCATATTTTCTGTGATTTCATTTCTTACTTGTTTGTTTTTACATTTAACTATTTTGCTCCTTAGAAATTTACTTTGGCCTCTGGCTAAAGACAGAGGAGATAATTTAATGTCTGTCTTTTCCCAAACATTTGAAATTACTCATTTATCTCATATCCCTTTCTGAGAGTTCCTTCCCAATTTCTTGAGTTCTTCAATCTACTTCTCTTATCATTCCATACTTTAATTGTTATAGCTTTATAACACACAAATATATGAACAAATAATTCTCCATTATTTTTAATTCTGATCAAATTTTGCCCAATTATTCTTTTCTCATATAGAATATTTTGAATCATTTTCTCAATTTCTAAGGTTGATTCAAATTTTAACTAGTATTTCCACTAGAGTATGCATCACTCTTGTTTTAAATTTGGTTAAAAAACTTATAAAAATCTACTCCTTGATACAATCTTAAGTGTACAGTACAATATTCACAACTATAAGAACACTGCTGCACATCAAGTCTCAAGGACACATTCACAGAAACTCTCCTTTTCCCTTTTCTCCCAGTCCCTGGCAACTACCATTCTATTTTCTGTTCCTATGAGGTTGAGTGCTTTCAATACTTATGTAAAGTGGACTATGCAGTGTTAGCTTTTTATGACTGGATTATTTTCACTTAGCCTAAGTTTCTCAAACTTGATCTACATTGTAGCATATGAGAGCATTTCCTTCCTTTTAGCAACCGAATAATATTCCAATGTGTGTTTATACCACAGCTTCCCTATCCATTCATCTGTTCATGGATATTCAGGGTGTTTTCCAAACCTTGGCTTATTGTTATAATAACGCAATGAACATGAGATTGAAAATATCTCTTTGTGATTTTTTTAAAATTTAACATTTTTATCAGCATTATTAGTTGTACAGGGGCTTTCATTGTGATGTTTCCATATATACCTACCATGTACCTTGGTTAGGTCCACCCCCCACCATCATTCTCCCTTATTGTTCTATTTTCATATAAGTATATAAAGTACTTTGATCATATTCACCCTCCCACTTCCTGCTAGTACCCACTCCTTAATAGGACCTGTTTTACAATCTCATTCTTTATTTTTTGGTGTTTTCATTGTTCAAAGGTAAAGTTTCACCAGGGTATTTCACCTATGAACAATAAACCTACAGCTAACATTATACTAAGTGGGGAAAAACTGAAACCATTTTTACTAAAGTCAGGAACAAAACAAGGGTATCACTTTTCCGACTCTTATTTAATATAATTTTGGAATTCCTAGCTAGAGCAATAAGACAAGAGGAAACAAAGAAATCAAATCATATGCAGATCATATGATCTTATACCTGAAATACCCTAAGAATTCTATGAAAAAACTGCTTAGGTATCATAGATACTTTCAGTAAAGTAGCAGGATACAAAATCAATGTACAATAATCAATAGCTTTTTTATGCCCCCAAAATGAACAGATTAGAAAGAATTCAGGAAAACAATCCCATTTATAATACCCTCAAAAAAACCTAGGAATAAATTTAATGAAAGAAGTGAAAGATTTTTACAATGAAAACTATAAATCACTGACAAAAGAAATCAAAGAAGACATCAAAAGATGAAAAGCTCTCCCATGCTCGTAGATCTGCAGAATCAATGTTGTGATCTTGGTTCTGAAGTTTTTGACCAGTACCCAAAGGTGGGATTGCCAGATCATGTGGTAATTCTTTCTATTTTTAATTCTTTGAGGAACGTCTGCACCATTTTACATAGCATCTGCACCACTTTATATTCCCACCAACAGGGCTCGGGGGCTCCAACATCTCTCTATCCTTGTCAACACTTGTTCATCTTTTTGCAATGTAATGGAATGATTTGCATTTACCTGTTAATCAGTGATGTTGACAAAGATTTCCATGTACCTGTTAACCATTTATATGTTCTTTTTTTGCTTCTATATTTTTAAATCCTTTTAAGACTCTCAATAAAATGAGTAAATTTCTTCATAAGGGTCTGGACTTTTCTGGTACCAGTCTACAACACCTATATTAAAAATATCACTGAGAATTTTCTCCTAAATAGTCTGCTGTTGTTGTTCTGCTTTTTGTTTATTGAGTGGGGGGGGGTCTCACTATGTAACCCAGACTGGGCTCAAATTTGCAATCCTCCTGCCTCAGCCTCCCAAGTGCTGTAATTATAGGCACGCACCACCATACTAGCATTAAAAGATCTTCAAATATATTATTTCTAGGGAGGAGTAATAAGAGAAAAGGGAAATTTCATAAAAAAAAGATGACACAAAGACAGTTTCAGTTAGGGTGAACATCAGAAGTAAAAACATATTAGTTAGCAAGCACAGGGTGTGTTTGGAAAACATCAAGCCTTGGGTTGGATCACAGACTAGGTGTAGCAATAAAATCTTGGTTGTAAAAGTCTGGAGTTAAGCTGGGTAGAGTCTTAATGGAAAATGGGGAACCACTTCTGCTGAGTAAAATCTCTGTCAGAAATACAGATAAAAAGGGTGTGGGGTGGGGTAGAGGGTCCCACCTGGCAGTGGGAGATGAGCTGTGAAGCAATGAAATTCTACAGGTAAGCTACCTCAAAGCCTCAGTGAGCTAGGGTAGGTAGAAAAGAAAAATATGGGAAGCTATTGGAAAGAGCTCAGTTCAAGGACAGAGAAAAACTGAAGAGGAGCACAGGACGTCATGCCTGAATGACCCAAAATTATGATACCCTTTGATAGAAATTAAAGAGCAGTTGGGGGTGGTTAACACCCTGAACACAGGTACACTGAAGACAGTCAGATATGCATACCAGAGACAAGAGGAAAAATTAGTAAAGAGTTGCTGAGAGCTTTCATCTGTGGGATGAAATTATACCCTTCTGAAAACTTTATAGGCAGAGTGAAGACAACATTGTCCTTTGAGACTTTCTCTGTTCATATTGATTGCTATATTTCTCAATAACTTAATCACACTCCCTCTTTTTTTTCAAAGTGAGGACTCCTCAGTTGAACAAGAAGGAATGAAATAGAAAATTGTGCTTGGGGGATTCTCACAGAAATGTGGATTTCTAATTGCAAATATAATCTAAGCAAAGAGGATGGATATTTTCAAATTCCATGTCTCCAACTTGTTCACAGAGGCATTACTGGTATAATATTGGGTATTATTGTACCAGTAATAACTTCCTCAATTTTGTCCTAGATTTCAAAATCCAGTTTCAACTCTAACCAATCACTGGATGGATCCAGAGTTCACAGAGAAACTCACAATCTGGTCATAAAAGCTATGCCATTTTGAGAATCAGTAGACTAATGCCAAGAATAACACCCCCCTTTCTAAAAGTCCATTCTCTCAGCTGCAAACCAAGAAGCTGGAGCGCTCTCAGCTTCTGTGTTGGACTTGAAGTCCATTCTTCCACTTACCCGCTACCCAATTTCTGATTGCCTACCATGCATTGGAGTTGAAACCCCCTTAGTGGGCATGTCTTACCTGATCATAGTATCGCAAGTAATACTTCACAACATAGTCCACCAGATTAATTCCATTATCCTAGGTTTAAAAAAGAAACTCAAATGACAATTGTTCACAAGAGACTCTGCCATGCTACACAGTTGAGAGCTGAAATCTCAGTTCATGATACTTCTAATTTATGAGAACTGACTCTGTTTTGAGACTGGTCAGATTTTCCTCCCTCCATTTTTTTTTTCTTTATGCCAGCTATGCAAAGAAATGACACTAGACTTTCATTTGTGGGGAAAAAATAAACAGATAATCTATAAGACCCACAAGACAACAGTTAAAACAAACCAAAAAATGCTGCCTAATATTTTCTGGCATAAAGCCAAGACGCAAGGGGTGGGAACACTAAAGGGAACTGGGGACTAAAACAGAAAACCATCCCTCCCTTCCCACCTTTCAAAAAAATGTGTGTTCTTAATGGCGTGAAAAACTATCAGAGCCAGCTTAAAAGGAAAGCCAGGCCACTTTATGACCCTGGGAGGCCAGGGTGAGCAGGCCCTCCCACAAGGCAGCCTTTGTGTCTGGTTCACAGGGGTCTAATTCTAATTTGCCTGAGTGTTTCCCCTCCTTCTACCCTCTTGGCCCCCCATGGGACGCCTAGATTTGGGCTGGTTGTTTCTGAAGAGGAAACTCTGCAGGGGTGTGGAGCCAAGTGATAATCAGGCTGGGAGCTTTGACAGGAGGCTCCAGCCCAATTGTTGTGGGCAAAAGAATAACTCAAACGCTGGGCTCAATTGGTGATTCAACCATGTTCTGCCACTCAAGAGTGAGTAAATTACAAGTGGTCAACACTAAACTCAAACAGACTCTAGCCTTTACACTAGGGCTAATCCTGTATGCTGTTTTATCATCCACAGCAGTAGCAGTTCAATACCCAATCATATATGTTAAACCCAAAGAAGATTAGGGATTATGTCATTGAAAATAAGGTCTAATATGAAAAACCTATCCTAAAATCCAAAGATAGCAAAGAATACAGTGCATACTCTCAAATAATTGACTATTGCTAGGGGAGGATAGAGACAGATAAAACATAATAGAATATTTTTTTTTAAATTAAAGGCATAGAAGGAAAATAGTAGTAGAATATAGAAACCCATTATGAAAAATAAATAAATAAATACCCGACTTTTGACGTCCTTGAGTTTGGGCAGAATTTCTAAGCTGTATCCATCTGCTTGTCCCCGAGTCCTGTTCCCTCCATTCATATAATTTCCAAATGCCAGAATGAGAGCTAAGATATCCTTCACACTCTTCATGTGCAGCAAGCCCTGTGATGGCAAACACCAATTATTACACTCAGAACTCCAACGGTACCTGTGTTCATTCAACAAGTATTTCTTGAGTACTCAACACAGTCACCAACAGTATTAACAGCTAATGAGATGAAAAATATACTTTACTATGTGTACTTTAAAAAAAGGCATTAGTAACCATCATTTTCTATGTAACTCAACAAAATTATAAACAGTGAATGTTCTAACAATGAGGATTACACCTTCATATTCAGATCTCCAGCTGAGTCAGTTTTATTTTTGGTACTCACTTTAACGTATATGTAAATTGGTAAAAGGGACGTAGTATAGTTAGGCTTAATTTCTGATGACTTCTAAGTAGAAAGATGTTTATTACCATTGTAGGTTCTGTTTTGGGGACTATGAATTGATACAAAGAGTACAGCTAAATATAGAGCAGACAGAATAGCAAGTATGGGTATAGTCCTCAGAGGCAAGTCACAATAATGCATTAAAGGAGATGGGTTATGTTTATTCAATGTACATTTACTAAGTGCTGTATTCTTTGAAACTTACCATTTCAAGCCGTTTAGGATTTTCTTTAGCTTCCTACCTCATTTGTTTTTCCTCTCTGTTATTTTAGTTTTTGCTTAAAGAGCAAAATTTTAAATGGAAACATTTCCTTTACAATCTTAGTTGACTTTATTTTCTTTTATTTTAAGGTAAAGAAAAAAAGCTCTACATAGACTTCGCTCTTCTCTCCCAGGGGTTATGAATGGGCATTGCCATACTTTGGTAATATTTATGTTTTCCTTACTGAAATTTCTTATATCATGCCTCCAGGTAAGCAATGGGGTACTACAGTATCTGTGGAGAGTAATCTCATTCTTAAGAACATGGGTCATCCTAACCAAGGGCTAGAATAATGTATGTCAGCATTGTGAGGTCAACAGAATCACTCACGATTACATTTTTATTAAGTCTCTCAAACCCCTTCAGATGACCAGTGTGTGGGTCTCAAATCTCTTTTGCCATTTGGAGAGGTGAAAAAGAAACAAACTATGCTGTTTGATTTTTTCAGTGCTCAATCTGTACCCTGCAAGATATTCACAATTTTCTAGACAAAATCTTCAAGAGCATCAACCCCCCCACCCCCCCACACCCCTCTTGTCTTTAGTCCCTCCCTCTCCCATGCACACTCACTCTCACTTGGGCAGGATACAGTCACATTTACTTTAGGAAAGCATGTGATCTGAAGTCTCAAAGGCTTGCTACAAGGTACTATAATCAGTCTCTACCTGTCTCCACTTACTCCTTCACCCCAGTAAGAGCAAGGCTTGCTCTTCAGTTAGACAGCAAATGTACCTTAGAGGCTCGGGTGACAATCTCTACCTTTCGGTGCAAGGAGGTGATGCTCTCAGAAAACACAGATCTAAAGATGATGCACTGGGCACGTTCAGCAAAGTTAGGAATCTGGGCCAATTCATGTAAAAATCTGCAAAAATGAAATAGAAAACTGATAAAGACCCACCATGAGAACATTCCTTATTTGATGATTTCAACTTAATTATAAAAGGTCCCAGACTGGCCAACTCAAGGGACTCCAAGGGTAAATGCTCTATTGTTGACAACAGGCCCACTTTCCTAGGGGTATCTATGATGGTGAATAAATGCATGGGGTATCAATTACTTTAGGAACAAAGTTTATGCAAAAGTACTGAACAAGTTCTCTATCTCCTGCTACCTGAATAAGAGGCTAAACCCAAATGGAAACACATAGTCTTTAGCATGTGAAAAAAATTATACTTTGAAGTCCCCTGTCATGCAGCATTTTTTAAAAGTGTATTAATACAGGCCAAGCAGTGAAGACTTTAGGCAAATGTTTATAGTCAAGTGATAAAAAATTTTCCTTCTATTGAAGTGAGAATGCTACCATTTTTGCTCAATTACATAATAGTTAATAATGATGAAATTCTCCATGCATATTTGTTTATTTTCATGTAAATGTACTCACATAGACATAGTTCACGGCTCAGTGCTTGGAACAAAGTGAGCAGACATCTAAGTTTCTTCAAAACCTGGGGTGGGTACTGACCTACACACAGCAGCTCACTGTCTGAGCAGTTGGGCACCGTTGTCCTTTGCAAAATGAAATTGGAAGAGCTATATACTCTCTGGGCCAACCACCAGAGGAAAGGATATAAACTAAAATGGGTGGAAACAGTTGGATATGAATTCAGAAAGGGGGAGAACCCTTTCTAACAGTCACTAATTTCATTTTGAAGCTGAAATGATTAACTGGTATTTCTGTAAGTCTTGGTCAACTCATACATTATTACCTTGAGGTTTTGCAATCTCTCACTAGGAAGGTTTTACAGAGGAACAAAGTTGTAGCTTTCTTCTAGTCTGTCTCTGTCTCTCTCTCTTGAGACAGGGTCTTGCTATATAGCTCAGGATGGCCTAGACTCAATGTCCTCCTGCCGCAACCCCCCAAGTACTGAGATTACAGGTATGCTCTACCACAACTGGCTGAAATTTGAATTTTAATAAGTTTTCAATTGTCAGCCATTTTTCCTATGTCTACAAGCTAGGTGGTCATAATCCCCACCCTTTTCAGTACTATGAAGATGAAATGTGGATGATTCTTAAAAGAAAACACACCCATACCTTAAAGTTCTATAACTGATTATTATGAAAATCATGTAATGGGGTATAAAAGTGGAGACCCATAGGAATTCTGGATTGAGAAGATGAGAAATTACACTTTGTAAATTGCTTCTTCATAAACAGTACAGCATTAACCAAGTGACTCATTTATCAGGCCTGACATTGGGGCTGTCCGCAGGTTTCAATAATAGATGAAAAGTGAAAAGCTTATAAGACTGGTTGCATTTGGTCCTGTGATGGGTCTTGGGAAGACTGACTTATTCAGATATGGAGAACTATCTCAAGAAAGTGTCTGGCATTTCTCCCCTTTCCAAATGTGACTATGAGACATCATTCACTAAGTAGGATCCAGAATGTGCTCATGTCCTACTTAAAACAAACACAGTAGTGAAGGAGAAGCAGCTGGAGATCACATGAGAGACTATACAGACCACAGCTCAGTTCATCCACAAGGACACAGATGAGAAGTAGACAAGGCTGGATAAGCAATTATTTACAACTGGTCTTAAAGAGGACCAATAAGAGGAGTTGAGACCAGAGGTTCATTAACTTATGTTACTCAGGGAAGAGAAAAATAGAAATTCAAGGCTCTCTGGGATTAAAGCCTTACTTGAGATTAGGGTTTGCACATAGAAAGCTCTCAAAGAGTCTTACATTCCAATGTCCTCTGCATGGTGAAAATTCTGGAACACTTACATAGAGTTGGAGGAGAAAGGGAAGTTGAGGAATTCTGCATTACTTTTGGATAGAACCACATCACTGAAAATTAGTAGTAGAGTATCAGTCATGGAGAATGTCAGTTAGTCTGTCATTTAGATGCCTATGAAGCATTGATAGTGTTTCAGTTGCACAAAGACCTGGGAATAAGATGATCTTATACACAGTTCCTTCTTATACCCTGAAAAATAAACCAATGACTGTTGTAGGTATGGCAAGTACTATGTGTCATGTGTGATGGATGTTGGGAAGCCACCCCAGTGCTCTGACATCAGAGCCCCAGGCAGCAATGTTGGCTGGGGATTCTGGAGCCTTGTGATACTGTGCATGGAACACATGAGGACCTGCCAGGGAGATAAGAAAAATGGGACCTGTGGGGAAGCTGGGTAGAAGTCAGGTGCTAACACAGGGCTTGTATTCTAAAATGGATTTTAAACTTTTCCTGAACAAATGAAGGGTTTAAAACAGAGAAGTGATACTTTTAGCTTTTTGTTTCACACCATCACCATGGCAACGGTTTGGCTGGAAATGATAGTGTGTTTGAGACTGGGAAAACGATCACATCACTGCTGCAATTTTCCAAGAGGGTCAGTAGCATGGCCCACAGTGGATGGAGAATGAGGAAGGTACCACTGCAGCAGACCCTGAGTAACTAACTAATCCCAGAGGATGTTAAGAAGAGTCCAGGATGACTTGTGGGGTCTTGGCTTGGACACATTGGGTAGAATGTGAAGATATAAAATATTAGAGAAGAAAATTTGGAAAAAAATGATTTTATGCCATTTTCAGTTCAAAAACAGTCTTGGAAAGGCTCAAGGAAAAGCACCACAGCTCCTTTCCCATCTCTCTGGTGAAGAACCAACAGAATAGGTTACCGTAAAGGCTTTGAGAAGCAAGTGTCTGATGATATCTCATTCCCCCCGCTGCATTTTATACTCTGCCCACTTATGCAGTAATAGTAAGCCTTTTACATATCCCCAAGCATTGGACCTGGAACACTGGACCTCAGTACTTACAAATATTCACAGACTGATTTCTTTTTGGGATAGTCTAACTTCACATTCCAGCTCCATAATAAGGAAGACCAAGGAAGCCACAAATGAAGGAGCATTCCCTTTTACCTAATGCAGGCAAGTTCCTGGGAAAGACTGCAACTTCAGCCTACACATACACAGCAGAAGCTCTGTGCCTCACATTGTGTGGGCTCCCAGCCACAGTAGCAACCTAGCTGGCAGGTGAAATTCTTTGAAAGAAACTGACGTGTGGTTTATCATCATTCCCTAAATCCCTCAACAATACTGCCTCAGATGTGTGTTCACACAAGGGCTGTTTACACAGTATAATTTTTGTATTGTAATCTGTGTTCTTGGAGAACACTAGAGAGTCCTACTTTGTGAGTGTCTAAGGGAGCTGTGCACCCTACATCCCAACAGGCTGTATTTGGTGCCCTCACTGTACATGGCAGGTGTACATTGGCCTAATCAAACCCCATAGAGCCTCGCCTCCCCTCACCATCCTTTCAAGGCAGACAGCAAGGAAGTGGAGGGCCATCCCAGGAGAGAGTGGCTGTCAGAGAGCCACGTCCCAAACAGATGACATCTCTGTGGAGAACAGCTTTCTAAATCTGGCACTGGGGTGTGAGAGAGTTGATGAGGTGGGTGATGAGGCCAGCCTCTCCGAGGTATGATTTATAAGACTGGGCACCATAGGACTCTTAGGAAACTGCAATGCTAAACTATAAATGATTCATATTTTCCAGGATGTAAAACATCCTTACAGTCTACGTAATTTGCCAGAGAATTAGACTCTGGCCTAAGTCAAACAAACGCTGGGCTGTGCAGGAGGTCAAGAGTGGAGGTGAAACCAGCTCAGGTCCCAGGGCCTCTCCCTCCAGCACATTGCCTCACCAGCACAACAGGATAGGCCTCTGCCCTTTGTAAGTGCTGAGAGCACTCAGGAAGTCAGCATAGCAACTATTCACAAACTAAAAATGCTTTTTTATCTAGATACATCATCAGTAGAAAACCAAGAATAATATGTTACCTGCTAATTAGCTGTCACCATTATCCTCTGTCCTGGCAATTAGTCTGGAGAAATAATGCTAGAAGGCAGTAGTACCAAAGGGAGAGGGGAACACTTCTCATGACAGAAGCACAGGCCCTCTCTTTGTCCATTCATTTCACCCAGTCAGCCATCCCCATACCTTAGAGCAGCTTCTGCTAAGTGGGTAAAGGTCTGGAAGATCACAGCCTATGAGCCAAATCCAACCTGCCATTTGTATTTGTGTGACTCATGAACTAAGAATCTTGGTTTCCATATTCTTAAATGCTTGAAAAAGTAGGAGGACATGTAAAAACCGTATGAAATTCAAATTTCAGCATTCCTAAATAAAATTCTATTGGGGCACAACTATGCTCCTTTGCTTAGGCATTAGCTGTAGTTTGCTTTTCACTACAGAGGCGACTTGAGTAGTGTGACCCACAGAGTAAAATCCTTATGACTGGGCCTTTACTGGAAAAGATTTTCAATTCCATCCTTAGAGTTTCAACACACAAGTTGGCCTAAGTCCCCAAATGCCTGATATGTTCTGTTGTCCCAAAACACCTCCCATGACCTTATCAGTGTATAAACATCTCATTATTAGTTACTTACCTCTCAGTCATTAGTACTTATGACATTAGAAAACCTGAGCATCAGCTGGGGTGGGTGCTGGTGAGGAGGTGGACTCAAAGCAGCAGAATGGAAGGGCTGAGGAATCCCATGTGAGTTAATTCAGTGTTCCTAGGTTCTGTGAACCAGCTTTGGGGCTGAGGGTCTTGGTTCCAGCTCCATGTGAAAGGAACTCATCTAAGGTCCCCAAACCATCAGGAAGGTCTTTCAGTATCTAGGCAAATCCAGGCATGTCTCCCCACCCATACACCAAACGTCTGAAGATCTTTTCCTGAGGTTGAATGCTAGACATCCCCGGGGGTGGGGGCATCCCAGAGAACCTGAGCACAAGACATAGAGGCTTCTGTACAAGCCAAGAGCCCTGGATGTTGGCAAAGCTGACTTTTACTCCATCTCCTCTTTGTTTTCTATACCTGCCTCTTGTCTGGCTTGAGAAGGCTGGCTCGAACTGGACACGAAACATTCAAGGTAGCCAGAGGCATCACAGCTCCTGTCTAGTCTGAACCCATTCCACATCAACACAGTCTTAAGTATTGAAAAACTGGTCAGGGCCCTTGGGCTACAGAGTCCCGGGAACTTATCTGTGGCTTGCAGACTCCAGAAACCCAGTCAAGGACAAGTTACTCAGTCACCAGAGTTCTGGGTTTCTGAAGTGTATGGAGTGATATCCCAAACTACAGAGAGAAGAGAGGAAAAGCCTGCTTTAGAAAGAAGACGAGGAAATCACAACTGACTTAGGTAGAGCCAGGAGGGAAGTTTGAAGGAAAGCTGTATCTTCAGGGTACGTTTACTGAATATGACATTTAAGAAAATCAATTTGAATTCTGTGGCTTTGATACAATCTTTTTAACTGCATCAGCAAAACCTTACAGGGACTAATGCCTTCTTCCTTCCTCAGTTACCCCTTTGGTTAAAATGTTTAGTCTAGGAGGAATTAACAAGTTGCTAGAATAAGGACGGGGAGTGGTGCGGGGCTGAGTTGGGGGTGGGGGAGGATGGATGAAACATACTGCAACCAGCAGCACAAATCTTAGGACTGCTTTTCCCGGCAGCTGGATCATTCTGCTGTATGCAATAGGTCACAGGAATGACAGTGTTGGAATTTAGCTCACTGCACAATTAAGCTTGGACAATCAGAGCAGAATACAGACTGCCGTTCTCCCGTTGACCTGGCAGGAAGGAGTGCAAGAGTCCTTACTGTTCAGGTTTGTCCAGCAGCTTCAGTTCTTCTTCTTTGGATGTCTCGTAGTACTTTCTTATTTTATCCAATTCATCCTCTTGGGCTCGCTATTCAGGAAAAAAAAAGAAATGGATAGTGAGAATCTGTCTAAGGTAGTGGATCTCACAGGGACTTCTGTGGTCCCTGGACCAGCAGAAGTACTCACCACTTGCTACAAATGCAAACTATTGGCCCACCCCAGGATTTGGGCAAACCCTCCAGGTAATTCTGCTGTATGCTGAAGTTTGCAAATCACTGGCCACTGCCAGTGTTATAACATGCACACTAAGCCGTACACGAAGCCAGGGCATTTGGCTCCTGTAGTCTCCTGTACGCAGATACGGGACAAGCCGTCCTCAACATTTGCTTCCTTCTCCCCAGAATAGCTCTGCTACCTTACATAGACTTCCCACTCTACTGTTTGTGGTCACCATCTTCCCCTTTTCTGAATTTATAAGCATTTGTCCATGCCACTTATTTTGACATTTATTCACAGTTTCTCGATTTATTCAGTTATTTGAGTTGTGTGCAGCTTGCCTCTACTGTGTGCTCACAAGTATTAGCCATGGACACAGTTCTGAGCTCATGGCAACAACAAAACATGCCTGGAAGGAAGTTTGCTTTTGACAAAGTCCTTAAACATCAATTGTTGCCTCCTTTCAGAGAATTCCATCCAGGCATGTACTCAGTCACTGAATCCCTCTCTTTCCTGCTCTACCACACTGCTCTACAATGCAAGATTAACTCCCAAGGGCCTGGTGTTTGTGCATCTTTGGGTTTATTAATCAAAACTTTCCTGATTTGATTTTAGGAAATCAAAAATTTCCTGAAACGTGTGAGAAGTTCCCACCAAATTTTACTAAATAGTTTCCAACATACATAAAGAATATTAAATAGAAAGGGAATTGGTAATCCCACCAAGCCTACAATAAGAGACTATGGAAATTTTCTGTAAGGGACATGAGCACTACAATGAATAATCTTGTGAGCTGAGTGACCACAGCATACCACAGAGCCCCAGGCAGCAATCTGAGAAATAAATACCATTATTTAAGAGAATCCAGTTCAATTTATGTTTCTGTAATTTAACAGTCAGTGAACCAGAACAGTTATCAATTTTGGAAATTCTTTTTTTTGGTGAAACTGGGGTTTGAAATTCAGGATTCATGGTATACTACTTGATCCATGCCTCCAGCCCAATTGTGGGAATTCAGATTTTCTAGTGTCACCATCTCAAGAGAACCTGTAGAATCTCAGGCTTATTACCCAAGAGACCTTATATGTTTGAGTGCTATTTATTTTCAAAATACATTGCTACTGCTATATATATTAAATTCTTATTTAGTACAGAAAATCAGGTAGAGACCCATGATAATCTCTGTTGCACTGATGATCAAACAGGAGTAAGCAATTTTCATAACTGGCCCAACCAGTCATTTAGTAGGCAATAGTAGAACAGGACCTCAACCCTCAAACTGACTAAATCTAAAACACACTCTATCCCTACACAACTTCCCACATTCAATGCCATCAATTCATCTGGTCTAAGAGTAATCATCCAAGCTGGTATTGCATTCCTGTTCCCCAGAGGAAGACATTGGTGTATGCCAAAATTAAGCAGGAAGCTTTTCTTCCAAGAAGCAACAGGGCTGGCCTCCAGAGCACACAGGTGGTCTCCACCTTGAGCCACCCTGCCTTGCATATTTCAAAGAAGTCTACTAACCCAGTTACCACAGAGGGAGTTAAGAACACGTGCCCCTCTCCTATCTGTTCCCACGAAAGCTTGCATCTCTGTGCCTTCATCTCTTCCAGGCTATGACAAAATCCTCACTAGCAAAGATCATCAATGACGGCTCAATGACTTTTAGGGTAGAAGGAAAATACAGAAACTCCAGCTCTATTTTTGACACTCACATTTTCAAATAAGGCTGCTAGGGTCTCCAGATCAACCACAGAGTCATCCACATTAAAAATGGCTGCCAAAAAGAAGAAAAACGGGTAAGGGATTTGATTAGTTCCTGACACCAATACACTGCACTTTCTTACACAGGTTGTGCCTTTCAGCTTGTATCTCCAACTTTCCTTTCTCCCCCAGGGGGCTCAAATGAAAGGAACCAAAATGGTTCCTAAGGCTATCCTTGCTTTATTTAATTCCTCGGGCCTTGAGTCCTTTCTGCCGTTTAATTTAGGCTCCACAGGAGAAGTGTTTGTGCTTTAAAAGTAAATCAGTTTGTGGGTTTGAAGCACAATTTTAAATCTTTCTTCCCAGCTGGTAATTGAAGAGATTTAGCACGTAATGCACCAGAACTGACTCTTGCCCATTACCAGAAAGGGAAAGAGAAAGAAGAAAATGTTGGCAAATTAAGTGAATTCAGGCATGTGATTTCAGGCACCTTTCCACAGCCAGTGTACACATCTTGTTTGGATTAAAAAGACAAGAAAGAGCAATAATTGCATCAATAGCAAATTAAGATTATAGAAACCTCCCATGAGCCAGTCTTAAGGCAAGTTCTTATTCCCAGGGTTTTATGAGGATTCTACTTGCTGTTCTGTACCTTAAATGAGTTGTTTCCCTATTAATAAATATGCTCATCCTTTCATCTGGAGCATTCCTTCCCATATATGCTGGGATACATTCATGCAGATCTTAAAGCTTCAATGGATTTGGCTATCACAGTGTTTGAAATTGGCAGACCCACATCTTTAAATAATTATTCAAAACTAATAAGGTTTGTTCCCTCAACTCCACCTCCCTTCCCAGACTTTACATTGTGAAATTAACCAGCACACTAGTAAATTTTCCCCATGGCAGACTAATTAATTTTATTAAACCAACTGGTGACACTTAGAATGCCTTCAAATTTTGTTGGTCAACCATTATTCTATTCATTCTCATTGTGCCATTTTTTTTTTGTTTTGTTTTGTTTTGGTGGGGTTTTTTCGTTCGTTTGGTTTTTTTTTTGGAAAAGGTAGGGATCTAGGCACAGAGCATGTTGTTTTTTAATTATTTTCCTCCATCTGTAGTTACCTCCATCTGTAGTTAAGAATCAGATGAACCCCTTCATACAAGTTTAACCAAGTGAGTTAAATGAGCTAAGACCATAGCATTTCCCAGAACACCAAGAAGTCTACTTAAAATTCAGTTGCAGACCCCTTTCTCTAACCTAGGAGTTCATCAGCCAGCTCTTCCTAGATACGTGGATGGTGAGAAGAGATTAACATGCAAGTGACAAAGATTCTACCAAGACAAAGGAACACTGCACTTGCCAAAAGGCCAATCTGAGGCCACAAAAGGAAATGTGGTTTGAGGAAAAAATGAAAGAATTTACCCTCTCAGGACTGGTATTTTATTTGTGGAGATAATATGAATTCACTAATTTACCAACTAGACCATGCATTTTAAACATCTAATGTTAAAAAATAAATAAATAAAAGCACCCAGGAACAATGTCTGTTTTATGTAAATCCCAATATTCTCTTACAAAAATCGGCCAACATAATTGTATAAGAAAAGTTAAAATTCTAAAAACAGTTTGTCAGAAATGTTTGTTTCTAAGCTAATCATACATCCTGGATGTAGATATGAGCTACAAGCCTAAGTCAAGTAATCTTCACTAATGAGAAAGAGAATGACCTGTTTCTTTTCCTATTGAGTAAATATTCAGCTTTATAAAGTTGACTAACCAGATTCAGCTAATACACTGGCTTCTATTCCAATGTGGCAGTGAGTAGAAAGGAAATACCCAGAGAGGATGGGACCAGGAACAATTCATTCTCCCATCCAGACACTGAATAACTATTTATTGAACATGCACTAAAAACTGTTTTCCAGAAACTGTTCCTATTTTCAAATGCTGTGGTTAGAGAAATCAAAAGCGTATAAGACATTTAAAGTATTTGATCTCATGGAATTGATATCCTAGATTGGGGGTCAGAAAATAAAGAAGTAAATACATAATCACCAATGGCAACATACTTTAAAGAAAGTAAGATTGGGCTGAGGGTATAGCTTGGTGGTAGAGCAGATGCCTAGCATGCATGAGGCCCTGGGTTCAATCCCCAGCATCACATAGGGAAAGTAACATAGAGAAATGTACAACATTAGGCAAGATGGTCCAGGAGGACTTCCTTTGGAAGGTGATGTTAGCTGAGCCCTGCAGAGGTCAGTTTTGTGAGCATCTTGGAAAAGAATCTTCCAGGGAGAGGTAACTACAAAAGCAAGAGTCTTTTTTTTTTTGATGGTGGAACACGCTGAAAGTGACATGTTCAAGGATCAGAATGACTCTCATGAACAGAGCTAAATTTATGCACTATGGGATCATGATGTGGTAGACTATCAGGGCCTCAGAATCTCTGTAAGACAGATCTCATACCTTTCACTGAAAATATTATGTGAGGTAATAGATAATCTTGGCACAGTACATAGAACAAAGTACAAACTCAAAATGACTATTGTAAGTTCAAATATACATGTTGTTAATGTCTTTTAATGCCCTATCACCTTTAACATCTTGTAAAGAATTAGAGAAAGACAACTACAACTACTAGTAATTTGTGCCATAAGTGCAATCTTCCAGAATTCTTGGGTGTTTCATAAAGTAGCTGCTATGAAACACTCTTGGTTCTTTAAGATCCCACTCAAGACGCAACTTCAGGAAGACTTCTTCCCTTATTAGTAGGTCAGCTATAGACACAAATATCTCTAAGTTATAAAAAATAATGTACCAATATCTTCAAGGGAATATAAGATACCTCTGGGTCTGTTAACAAAGTTAACCTAATTTTTATCTCTAATTTCAGTTTTTCCCATCAATCCGTCCTTCATTGTACCACCAAAGTGCGTTTAAAAAAATACTAGTTTAAAATTTTTACTTTGGTGTTTAAATGCCTTGGATGTCTCTTCTTCAAATATTGGATCAAGTTCAAATTGCTTGGCCTGGTTTTAAAACCCTCTTCCCTTGCCCCAGCTATAATTTCAATCTTACCTAAGACCACTTCCTCATGTTAGCTTCAGCCACACTGTAAAACTCCCATGCTAAACATGCCTTGGCTTCCTCCCTTTCCACACCTCATCTTCCAAGGTCCAGGAGTCAAAGGTTTCCTGCCCTGAAAGGATAACCCTTGACCTTCAGATCATTAAGTCCTCCATCTTTCCCCTTGCCATGACACTTCACTCATATTTTACACAGGGTGAAGACAGTATGCTTTAAGAATCTGTATCAAGGTGAGCAGTGCAAGTTTCTCTCCCCCACTGGAATGTGAAGGCCTTGTAGTCAGGAATTGTTCCTTAGGCATCTTGCTAACCTAGCTCCCAGCATAGTACCTGGAGTGTTGTCTGCCTGAAACACATTCATGTGGTGTGGTGTGGTGTGGTGTGTGCCACAGACTCCCCAGAAGTGAGTCCTTCCCCAGAAATGAGTTCTTCTGCCTGATGTGAAGAATGGTTTTTTGACAAGGACACGGGGTCTTAAAAAAGACTTAAAGGGAATGGGATTTGACAGGTGAGACTATTATGTTGTGGGAGGGGTGCTGTATTTGAATTAAGGTTGTTTGCTCCTTCCTGATTTGTCTCTGTTCAGAAATCAAATTTTGTCAGTAAGTTTACCCAATCACGTGCTCTACTTATAGCCTCAGTGTAGACACACTGCTTGCCTGAATATTGCATAACAAAAATAATCAAATTTAAATAAACAAATGTTCTCATTACTAAAGAATGAATAAGAAAAAAATATCTTTCTCATCATTCTTAGCTTCAAAAAACATTTAACTAGTAGTATTACCATAGGAAAAAGGTTAAGAATGCAAGTTCAACTGATATGCTGCTTCCCAGACACTTGAAAGGCCCTTTTGTTAATCATCATTAAAACAAACTTATCCCAAGTAATATCAATTTTTAAATTTATAAGTGCCAGTTAACATCAATTGGAAGGAAGTAAAGCAGTCCACGTGAAAAAAGGAGATGAAGACAGGTTCGTGGAACCTTCTAGCAACTGCCGGTAATTTGGCTTGCAGAGAACTAATGAAAGGAACCAAGGAGATGGCTCTAGATATAATTTGGGGCAAGGCCTTGTAGAATGTGGAAGCCCTTGAGCAGTTTTGAGTTGGGGAGCTCACTGATCAGATCAAAATTTGGAAAGGCCAGTTTTGAACCAATTGCAGTGGGCACAAAGTAGCAAAACCCTGGAGAGCATGGGCCAGACAGGCAGGGCAGAGGAGGAAGACGTTATGGAGTGCTCTATAGCAAGAGCAGTAATTAGATCTGGGAACAGAGGAAACTGGAGGATAAAACCACACTGAGGCTCAACACGTAGGTTCAGGGGACCTTCCCATGACAGAGGACATGACTGCTGAACTTTCTCCCAGGGCCTGAGGGAGGAAAGGAGTAGAGAAAAGGGGACTGGAAAAGGGAAAAGTAGATAGAGACATTAATTTAAGGCCCAATATGAAGTTTCCACTTTAAGATCCAGACATGAATCTTAAAAATAAAATTTAAAAATTCAAAGGTGGAGGAAGCAATATCAAGAGATTACCTGGCTGACCTCAGGAGCTCATAGGAGTTAATTCTACTATTTCTACCCTGAATATCCAAGGAAACTTAGGGTATTAGCCTCAGGTATTAAATATAACAGAGTCCTAGGCTCCTGGGGGAGTTGTCTTACATGGACAAAATTCCACCTTCCATTCACCAAATGCAGTTTAGGTTTCTGGGGCGGGGTGGCGGAAGGGGGGAAAATCCATAACTGACAATTGTATCTTATAATGCTGGAATGATGTGCTAGAGAATCAATGAATGCTCTCTGATTTAACCATTCTTGCAGGCACATCAAACCTATAAGTGACTACATAACCCATCTCATTAGTTAACTGATGATCACAATGTGATTAAAAGACTTTTGGGGTCACCTAGGGTCAGAGAGTTCCCTCCATTTTACACTATAAAAATACACATTCACACACTTGGGGTTGGGGGATGTGG